CAGTAATAACTGAACTCATATCTGTGTATTATACAAAACATCAAAAAAAAAATCATTTTGAGATTTGCGTTTTAAAACTTGATATAAGCAAAAAAGGACCAAAATGTGGAAGTTAGTAATGAGTTTTATACAAATCTTACATAGCTTTTTTAATTTTGTGCGGACTATTAATGTGAACTTCCGAAGGATCACACTTTTCCAGATATAGATCAACTTTGGTACTTAAAACGGAATGAGAATTATACACAGAAATAAATTGAAAATCGTATTTTTGTGCAAATCATAGCCCGAATTGAGTTAAAATGGTTTCCAATTTTTGGTCATTTTCATAATTAGAGTAGTTATTCTGGAAAAAACGATGTTAGCCCATGACTTAAGTTTAAATTTTAAAATTTGTTCTACACTTACATGAAATGGATCATTAAAAATTATTCATATCCCCGTACTTTTTAAAAGTATCAGTGGAGAAACTTTTATACAAACTATATGTAGACAATTCTCATCATGATATTGTTATTATTGTGATTTTATAAGTATCAACTTGATTTTAAATTTGGAACTGTCACCTGTTACTGTGAGAGATTTCAATAATAACATTTTTAATTTGACAACCAACATTGTATGTAACAGTCTGTCCAAACTAATCGGATGGGCAATGTGACCTGCCTATGTTTTGGAAACATAGGGAACATCATTAGATTTATAAGCAACATACATTTTATAATGCATATTTAGAAGAATCGACCTATCAGTAAACTCATAATACAATTTAAATTTACTACATTCGTTTATAAAATGACCCACTCCGTCGTTTCCCTGCATCATATTGAATGAAAAGAAATTTACGACGTGAGCGATTGTAACGATATTGCTTCTAGGTAAAAAGGCGTAAAAAGTAAACATATTTTTTGTTATTGTTGAACATTGCTTTATCTATTCTGATATAGATGGAAATAACAGAGAAAATGTCAATATTAACTTCTTTTTGTTTAGAAATGATGAATCTGAACAATAATCACGTCTGTGTAACTCTGCCCCAACCACCTGGCCAACTGAAGTATCGTTCATACCTCACATAAGCCACTTGCGGCTTTATTAAGACAATCACGCCCGCAATTAACGCTTCCTTTAAATCAATCAAGCAACGCCTACCGTATAATTGGTATCAAATTGAATCTGAATTTTACTGCCTTGCACCATTATTCCTCAGTAAAGTTTTCACCACCAGTTTTAATTGACATGCCGTATGAGTTACTGAGTTTTACTGAGTTTCATTCGTTTTTTCTGCAGCTTATTTTTCTGTTTGAAGTTTCCGGAAATGGCAGAAAAGCGGGATTTGGTTTCAAGCGCGCGTGGGGGACATCTGGCTGCCTACTGGGAGTCCATGTTGTTAGGAAGAAGTAATGTAGGAATATAAACATTAGATGAAGGGATGGGGTTGATATTTTTGGCAAAGGTCAAGCGTAAAATACATACGTCAATGACGGTGGTATGTTGATGATAGGGTTAAACTTGATGTATTTAAGACAGGGATCAGCATAAATAACCTCTACTTCATGAGTACAGAAAAACTCGAGGTGAACATGACATCGAATAAAGAACCAATATTTTAAATAATTGGCTTGCTATCCGCTGTTCTTTTTTATGTTGTATTTTTACTATACGGTAGTAATAACTTATTTGTTTTAAGGACCGCTATAACACATATATACGAATGTACAAAATCATGACCAAAAATGATTAAAACAAAGCAAAATATAATTTTGCTATATAAATTGAAAACTACGTGTTTTTCTTATACATATGGAAATTTTAATCATTTAATTCTGTCCTCATAAAATTTGAAATATATGACGTGAGTAAATTTGCAATTTTGCAAAGAAATACATGTACTTTGGAATAAAATGAGTTCATATTCGGTGAATTAGAGAGATTAAATTTTAAAACAATACATCTTTCTATCGACTTAAAACATTGTATAAATTAATTTAACTTTAATGAAAATAGTAATTCACTAGTATAAAAATGCTTTTGTTTGCCAAATAAATCAAATTGTTGATCTTTAGTTTAGTGTGTTCTCTTTGTTTTTAAAATACTTGGCTTCAACAGTGTGGTTGATATACAGATATATTTCTATCTTAAGAAAAACAAAGGTTACCTGATAAATTTGCACAAAAATGGCAAAAAGATAGGAAAAAAAGAATAAAGCTCTATTTTTAAAAAAAAATACATGTATTTCAAGTCTTAGATTTAAACCCTATTTTGATTTTTTTACAATTGAAATATTTTGTGATTAAGAGTTACATTCTACAAATAACTAGCAATAACTGGATATTGGTCTTGACCATAAGCCACACCGTTAAATGAAAGATTGTGTCATTTTTGTAACGTCTTAGAAGACGAATATCATTTTGTTGCGTTCTGTACAATGAGTTAAGACAAAATATGTACCACCAAAATAATGGACAAGACATATGATTAAAGAAAGCTTGAAACATTTATTTTATTATGCTTTTGTGAAGCGTAGCGTTTTGTTATAATTATAGAAATACTTAATATACTTTAGAATATATTCATGATTTGGTCTTGACATGATTAGATAGATATGCATCATAGACAAGACACACCAGAATGTGCCCCATAACCATTTAAGCATTTAGTATCGCATTTGCATTTTTCTTTATTTTTCGGACAAATCACTGGTAGCTATCAATTATTTTTCATGAATCCAGTTGGTTGACCTTTCGTTTAAGGTTCGTCATAGCGAAATAAGTTAGAATTAATTTACAATGCATGTGATGAAAAATATAGAAATGGAAATGAGTGACTTCAAATCACGAGGACAGACAGAAAATGGCAATTTTGTCAAAAGAACAAATGGCTATGGAAAATTGTTTCAGCTTGTAAATGGAATAAAAAGTTATGACACTGAAGTGCCATTTCATTGGTATATAGACAAAACATTGATTTAACTTAATTTTATTTGTTTTTATCGCTTATATTTATCTCCGAACAACAATGTAAATCAAGTTAGGGATACAAAATTAACATAACTTGGAGGGAGGCTAAAATTCAGATCATTTACTCTATAACATTTGTTTATTGTTACAATTAGATTTATTCTAGACCTTCAAAATAAATGATCAGATATATCGATATGAAATATGTAAACATATACAAATATTTTAGATGTAATAAATTGTGGAAAAGACAATACAGTTTGCTAAATGTCTGAAGACATGCAACACCGATATACGATACAATATTTCATAGGACAACACAAACTTGTAATAGGTTTTATTGAAAAGCAATGCTTGCTTTTTGGCATATAATCTTTTTATTTTTGTAAAAGATATAAATAGTTTAGATTATAAATACCAATGTTACACTTTATAGTTGTCTTTTTATTATTATTATTATTTGAGCAGTGTCATGACAAAACCAACATAGTGCGTTTGCGACCAGCATGGATCCAGACCAGCCTGCGCATCCGCGCAGTCTGATCAGGATCCATGCTGTTCGCTATCAGTTTCTCTACTTGTTATAGATTTTGGTAAGCGAACAGCATGGATCCTGATCAGACTGCGCGGATGCGCAGGCTGGTCTGGATCCATGCTGGTCGCAAACGCACTATGTTGGTTTTGTCGTGACGCAGCTCATTTTTTGTCATAGACAGATTGAGATAAGAGTAGTTAACACTACATCTGCTAGTGACGCTATATTTCACAATTTTTTTAAAGATATATCTTACCTACTCCAATGATAGGTATTCCTTTATTCTATGTGTTTTATTGCATCTCTGTGATGTCTGAGGTAATGAGTAAAAACACCAGCTTCATGATCCTACTTTTTACAGCCTATATACAATATTTAACAAAACACTGTATAATTAATGTAAATAATAATATTGGTGTATATCTACATAAAGCTATACGTATATTCTAATGTTTTGAGGAGCTGAGGCTATGAGAAACTGACAGCGAACAGCATGGATCCTGATCAGACTGCGCGGATGCGCAGGCTGGTCTGGATCCATGCTGGTCGCAAACGCACTTTGTTGGTTTTGTCGTGACGCGGCTCATATGTTTTTATGTTTCTGGTCAACTAAATACACATCACTTGCAATATCACCTGAAGAGTCTCTGTTCATAGTTCATAGGACAACACAAATTACATTATCCTTCCCCCGAATACACACCCATTGGCATTGGTAAATGCTATTTTGTATATTTACAATACATTTTTATTTTTTACTGGAGTTGACTAGAACTATTTTTACATGTACAGTTTCTATATTAAAATATATACTAAATTTCTACGTATTGTATTTCCCAAATCCCACAAAACTACAAATTAAAGCAATCCTTTTTATTTTCAAAGTTTACAGACTTTCGGAACTGACAGTATTTTTTTCTAAACGGAAACTTTCTCATCTCCTCTGAGAGGAACGACTCTGTTCACAGCTCTAATGAGCATTTCTATGGTGTATATAAACAAACGTGATATTATTTTGGCTGAACGTTTCTAAACAATGTAGGAGGATAAATGGAAAATCCAGATCCCGTCCGTCAACGTTGGCGCAGTGATACAGCTTGGGTTACACACGAGTGAAACATTAGCCGGATAATCTTACGCGAGAAGAAATGAAGCTATGCCAGTTATGAGAAATTATACGGAATTATTTATTAGTTTCAATATTTTGAGTTCTTTAAGTGCCCACCTTTGATCGCTAAAAAACGAAATTAAACATAATCTTCAGATAATTATTTACTGAATTATCTTTTTACTTTTTGTATATCAGAAATAAGAAAAATAAACATTGATGAAAAAATTACTGTACATATTTTTATTTCCAATGTTTCTTACACAATATTAACAAAAATATATACAAGTGTATAAGTAATGATTTTTTCCGATATCCAAGCAAAAGGAAAAAACTAGGTACTGTACAAACGAATTTAATTTTTTACATGCATGAAATAAAACATTTTTCATTACAGATTCGAGTGACCCATTTAAGTTGGACTTGTCAGTAAAACCCCGAAAGGAACGGACGGCGTTCACCAAACACCAGATCCGAGAATTAGAAAAAGAGTTTAACTTACATAATTACCTGACCCGACTTAGAAGATACGAAATAGCTGTGGCACTAGATCTCACAGAGAGACAGGTACATGTATATTCATTAACCTCTTACCTTGTCAGCCTTTGTAATGGGATTGTCTAGGTATGAATTTGGTACAATACATTGTTAGTTTACGGGGTGTTAAGCTTAATTCTGCTGTAGTTTTGTAGGTGGTTTACTCTGCATTGAATTTGGAACATTCCATTTGAATCAGAAATCAAGGAAGTGCAGGCTGGCCTTGCTCTTTATTATTGCCAAAGGTTAATTATTTACAGTTCCAGCAGGTTAAAGGTCAATATGAAAACACATACCGGCTAGCCAGCAGGCTCTACACTTTTGGCAATGAACTGTATTTATAATTATACGCTTGTCCAGAACTCTAATCGGTATATTTAAAAGTACACTCATTAGAATCAAGTTTGCTTTACACGAGATTTATACGTGTTTGTTAAAATGCTTAAATAGTTTCGCTATTTTATTATTGATCATTAAGATACCTGATAGGGATTCCTTATTAACGTTTCATAATAATGTAATCGTAAAAAAAGAGAATGAAAATTATATCAGATGTAAGAAGGCGCATATGTCGAAGGAATAGATTTGGAGTGAACACAAGAATACAATATACTAACAAAAACAGAATTGGAACTAAACAGAAAACTGCATGCAAGTCAATATACAAACATAGAGCTTTAATCTTCTGAACATTTAAGTCATAAAACAAATTTAAATGTTAATCAGAACATTTAGTTCCTGTGACTACAAGGTTCACTAGAAACAAATCGACTGCATCTTTTTTCATATTATCATTTTATTAACAAAACATTATTTGAATATACGAATAAGAAGATGTATACCTCCACTAAACAGCGGCTCTTTCACATTTTTATGATCTTTTAAATGAGAGCTTTCGTCATTTCCATTATAAAGTCATCGACCAAACTAAAGCTCGAATATGTAAAAGCAGTTTTTAAAAATATGATTTTTAAGAAATACCGGTATGCTTGTTGTTTTTTTCTTTAAAAATCGAAGAATGTCATGTCATGTCAAACATTTTCTAATCATTTTGGATGAAAAAGAAATTTTACCAAATATTAACTTTGTACTTTCCTTTACGTCGAGACACATCTTTGGTGTTTTTTACCTTAAAGTTAATGTCTGCCCGCTTTTTCGTGCATGGAACATGATTCGTATTTCCCCTTTGGCTCAACATAAAAAAATCATAGAGCTTGGTTAAAAATAAATGGTAAACATTGTGCTATGCAACACAACCATTCAATAACTGTCCATATTATAGAATTATACCGATTAATACTCATGGATAGACTAAAAAGAGAATCACCAAATCAATTGTGATAGATTCTTAAGTATTTACTACGTCGCTTTATATTGCAAAAGTATAAAAGTTTTCTTTCACTGATTATATGACTTTCAAGTGAAAATTTGCAAAAATAGTGTCTTCATTACTTGATTTGAGTTTAAGAACTTGTTCCCTGGATGGGCATTCTTTGTTTTATTTCTGCAAGTGTGGTGTGTCGTGTTTAATTGTTATGTTTTTGACAGCAACTTTGAAATAGTGTTGCATTGCTTTGATGAATTTTACTTCGTGCTCAGCGCAACACTTAAACATTTCACGAAAGCAAGTATTTATCAACTCATTTAATTCTGTCAATTTGATATTTATCTCCAGTAATCCATTGACAGTTATTGAATGGTTATGTAACTTGTGTTGGCTCGATCACATTTACGAGGGCTCTTTCAAATTGCCGATGACCCCAGCACATTGTCGATGGCTCGATCATATTTGAATAATTTAAAGTATTTTATTTATAACCAAGCTCTTTGAAGTTGAAACAAAGGTGGCACAATATTATTTGCACTATTAAGTGGATCAACATTAACTTTATGGTAGAAAAGTCACCCAAGAAAACACACTAGTTGATACGTGGTAAAAAATCTAGCAACGGCATTTTGAGGTATTTCGTTTTGAAAATGCATCCAAAATGACGAGAAAATGTTCTACGTGGAACAACATTCTTAAACAAGTCACTGTCACAAGTTACCTTTCTGAGCTTTGTTTTAGACGGAAATGTGAAATAGCCAGCGTTTAGTAGGAGGATGTAGTTTTAATAAAAACAACAAAACTTTACAAACACAGTTGAATATACAACATTTTGTTAGTTATAAAGGCAGGTTATTTGTACATATATAACACAGTGTAAACGTTTTTAAACGTATATGACCAGAGTCGTTTGACAAAAAACTGTTTTACAAGACCACAAAACCAGTCTAATTTGTTTAAATTAAATTTATTATACAGCACAATTCCTTTCGTTATTTTTGTTAATTTACAGTGGCCGTATATAAAAATCAAAGTGACAAATGAGCAATATAAACTATTATATATTTTTATACATACATATAAAGAATTCCAACAATTTGTTCTGTGCATCCATCATTTCATTACGTAACACAATATAACAGAAAATGTTTTTTTTTTTCATTTTCAGTTCATAATATTATACAAACATTTTTTATTCACATGAAATCTGGCAATTAAAGATATAATTTGAATTCCGGATATTAAGATTCACTTATAAATTATCATTAAAATAAATTCCGTCGAATCATTTACTTGGAACTATTTGTCACTAAAATATACTCATAAATAAAAATTGTCAATTTCAAGATATTGTTCTATTAATGCTTTTAATTAACAATAATTTCTTCTAAGATAATCAAGGGACAAAAAGAAACTTCATAATTTATTGTATTCACTAAATTTTCTATTGTTCAAGAGCATCATGGGATAATGAATGGACAGTGCGATGTTTAAACTTGAACAAGCACTTGAACAAGTTTATCATAAACATAATATTTAGGGATGATTTATTTTTTCTTAATTAAAAATAGTTACATTAAACGCAAATGCATGTTAATGTATATAGAAATTTAAGATATATAGAAAGTTTTGTTTCGTTTTTTTACGATATGATATAGATATAGTAATTGCCAGGAATTTGCTATTCAGGTCGCTTATCTATATATTTAATTCACATAGATTATAAATTCCAGAATTACTAACTAAGAAAGATGATGGTAGATGTTATAATAATGATGCAGGGAGACAGGCAAATTTTCTCTTTTTTTCGTTTTGAATTTTTAATTCATTATTCTGTAAATGTCCTCAAAATGAATACACTAGGCAGTCACTGGATTTATAAAGAATAAAATGGTGGTTTCCTAATACTTGACCCACGTAGGTCAGGTTAGAGCGTTAAGATTTCACAATTGGCATTACAGTGAACTCTAGAAACGGTAAAGAACATGTCAAATGAATGACTAAGACTTGTTTCAATCATACAATATCCACAATATCTGTTATTGCAACTTCCAGGGTGTGCTAAAGTCAGATGACTTGTTTTAAAACTACATAGTGATTCTGTCGGCGTCTAAATTTTGTTCAACATATATAGATGTATTTACATTTCAAACCCAAAATATATAGAATTCATACGGAAATGCTGAGACATTTCATGCATGTCATTTTGGCGTGATTTGAGAACATAAAATCATTTTATTATTTTGTCATTAATTTGCCTGAATATCCCTTTATTCGTGGCTAGTAATTTAAGTTTTTTGCTTGCTTTAAATGGGAAATCAAAGATAATTTTCTTACAAATATTGCAAACAAGAAAACTTTTAAAATGTTATGATAAATAAAATTGAAATGAATTTAGAAAAATGAATACTTCTAAAATATGTCTGTATATTTCTTTATCTGTTCACGTCAGGTAGACATTAAGTTAAACTTCACTATCTTTTTTATGACAGAATTTAATTTCTAAGCATATAAAAATTCTCTTGTTTTCTGACAATTTTATTTTAGTTTTTTGTCATTATTCATTTTGAGATCAAGAAACAAAAATCATATATTCTATTCGCCCAACATCTCTGTAACTTTACTTATTACACAAGAATAAGAAAGTAATATTCCTTCATTCTAAATTCATGAAGAGTAAAAGTTATCATTTAACATGTCTAAATAATAGAAACATAATAACATGAAAATACCATTATTATCATTATCACATATTGATTACATTCTTAGTACCGTATAATAATACTCGCATATGGATTGTTGAATTAAGTTTTAGCCGGTGCGGGAGAGGGGGGGGGGGGGGGTAAACGGTAGAATGCATTTATTACTGCCCTTCATGAAGGGCTCTATCTACCAGGTCGACACCATTTTCAATTTTATCATATTCGGTGACCAAAAAAATGTGATCTTGATTATTTTCAAATAACATAAACAGTTTGCCTTCGCAAAAAATATAAAATATTTAGCAAAGGAATACAACTAATTCTTGAGTGTTTTACAGTTAGTGTGAATATATTATTAACAAGCCCACTTGTTATCAAATTAGCGATTAAAAATAATTTTGATAACATGATACACATTTGAGCCGCGTCACGACAAAATCAACATAATGGGTTTGCGACCAGCATGGATCCAGACTAGCCTGCGCATCCGCGCAGTCTGATCAGGATCCATACTGTTCGTTTACCAACTTAATTACAAGTAGAGAAACTGATATCGAACAGCATGGATCCTGATCAGACTGCGCGGATCCATGCTGGTCGCAAACCCATTATGTTGGTTTTGTCGTGACGCGGCTCATTTGTTTCACATGAACTATATTTAGATAAATCATTTTTATTTACCGTTAGTTAATGGTATTTTATAAAGGATTTGTTCACAGTCAAATCGCTAATAATGTAAATAAGGATGTTTTGTGAGTAATATCGTGAATAAAAAAGTGCTATTTAAAATATATATTCTTAAATAATTGATATGACGAAATTTTACAAGACTTAGTCTACTGTACACGTCGCTTCCCTGTTAAACATTTTGGTCACAATATGCTCATATTGAATGATGCTATAATGGGCGTATAAACTTTACTGATTGAAATAAAATTTAAGCATATCATTACAAAAATTAAGAACTCATACAATATGGATCTGTCTTAATAATGCTATAATTTGTCCTGTGACGAATAAAATGTTGCAACGTTATCTAAACATTGTTTGCATCGCAAACTGAAATATATTTTGTTAGTGCAGACTAAAAGATTTGCTACAGCTTATTTTCGAATTTAGACAATGTGTCATATAAAGCAAACATTTTATTTTCCAATTTCTTAAACTTCGAGTATATACCAATGTTATTTGTGTTGAGATAATTGCAAAAATCTGGATAGGGATGATCCTTCGGAAGCAATAAAAACAACAGTTTCAGTTTCATTTATTGACAATCAGCAATACATTTGCCTTTGGCCATTTACATACAAAAAACTTATAGCAAAAATATTATATACATAAATAACATAGACAAATAATTATCAGAAAGACAGGTAAACTTTAACGGATATTTTGACGTTAACAATGCTTCTTTTATATATTTTGCTAGATTAAACATATATTTTTTTCTCATATTTGACATCAATGCATTAATTTATTTTATAGTTGGCCATGAACACTGGCCTAAATATTTTGATCTTATACCACTGTAACGTGAGCAACGCAAAACAAAATGATATTCTGACTCTACTGCATTTTGGTTACATAGTTTGCACAATCTATTACTTCTTTCAATATTATTATAATTATATTCCTAATTCTATATCTAAACTATGTGAGCATTATATTAAGCATGTCAATTGCTGCCTTAGCTTATCATTCAATATAATGTCCACGTATTTTTCAAAACAAAATTCAGTTTAAAAACAACAATATTAAATGGAAATTGCAGAGTCATTTTAAAGGAAAATGTTCATGAGGGATAATATAAGGGTACAATATCTCTCATCATCATTTCAATTCTTTATGAACAAAATTGACCATTTTGTAAAATTAATTTGACAGTGCTGAAACAACTTTGTCTCAATCGGATGTTTGGAGCTGAAAATCGCAATTTTTTACACAATGAAGCTTTCTCAAGCATTAATAAGTTTTCGTAAAATATTAATAGCAGTTTGTTAGTAGGCTACTTTATTTATACATGTATACTACATGTATTTCTTACGGAATTGGCCTTCATTGTCGATGTATATTTGAAACCCAACTCAGCGCCGTTTTCTCAATGTCAAGTCTAATAAAAACAAGATATATGCCGAATACGAATTGCTTTAAACAAAATAATCTGAACATATACTTTGGTCTTCGAGCATAAAGTATTTACAAAGATAGAATGCAAGCATGTCTCGAGAGATATGCATAATGGCCAGATATTAAAAAAATGGCCAAATATTTGAAATAATGGCCAAATATTTGAAATAATGGACAAGGTGTTGCACCATGACTGTATTTAGTCTTGCAATATAGATATACATGTATTTTAATATAAATGGTAATGGTAAAGAAAATAAATATGCATGTATTTTAGATGTCCTGGTGATTTACCTAGAGGGAAATATACAGGTCGACATAACTGAAATAATAATAAATCTGAAATAATAGATACATGATTTTTTTGATTTTTTTCTAAAGATTAAACACATTTAAGAACTGAATATAATCTTATCCGTTTGTCCTCTATACATTTTTGACAATAAGGCTTAACTGCAGGAAAAATGTGTTAAAATTTTTAACGCCAGCATTTTAAATTTCTGCTTCTTCTTTTTATTGTTCTTCTTTAAATCATTTCCAGGTTAAAGTTTGGTTTCAAAACCGGCGAATGAAGTGGAAACGAGTAAAGGGAACTAAACTAGCAAAAGACAAAGTTGATGGACATCTTAAACCTATAATGGCGCCAAATGTTTCTTCTACAGACTCTGATGATCATCATCAAAACATGATTTCAGAAACCGGAAACACGTGATAGTATGGCAAAGCTAACCGGAAACACATGATAGTGTCACAGACAAGGTCATTAATTGGATTATTGTGAAAACATATTAATAGGATGTAATCCTAAAATGCAATAAAAGATGGGCAGCGCTTGTTGTCCAGGAAACAACGTAATATTTCACGTGAAGCTTAACTCTACTTATATACAGAAAATCGCTTAAACGAGGGGATAGTGTTTCAAAATGCGATGAGGGATTACGTGGTTAGCAACTTTTGCAGTTTTAACTTTGATTTGAAAGATGAAGGGCAATTGATTTAAACAATATCAAAATATACTGTATATATTTGTTTTATTTTTTTAGGTAAGTATAAAACTGAAATATTGAAATATTTGATTGCATGAGAAACAATCTTTTATTTTGAATGTATGTCTTGTTATATATACGCATTTTTTATAAATGAAAAAAATGCTTGTCAATTTTGATAAGTTAACATGTACGCGATAGGAACTTAAAACTGCTGTTTTGTGCTCATAATGTCACAAAAACCTGCAAGAGTTGTTATGAAATATGAACGATGGACATGTTATAAAAGTAATACCTGTGTAATAGGCCTGGAAAATGTGTTATTCCAGAATCATTAATCATGATACCTGTCGCAATATGTCTGTTAAATAAATATTTCAGCAATAAACTATACCTCGTATACTGCTTTATTTAAAGTTTCAATCTGACAAACTGACGATATTTTTCTTGATATATCTTATATCATATATGAAAAAAATATCTTAAAGCATAATTATTAGTTTCTCGTAGGAAAGAAATGTGTAAAAATCTATCAACAGCTGGTGTTATAATGGCGCAAAAAATCTCGTTTAGTTCTCACTAATGTCGTCTGCTAAATTCATCAGCGGCAAATTCAAAGCGGGACTGTGATTGCTTTACCAGAAAATCACGGTGTTTGCAGTTAGGCATAGTAAAATGCTCCTAGATGATAGAAGGCCGTTGCTGGCATGTTACGCTGTTTTAAAACTGTAAATCAAAGCGAAATGAAAATAACACAATTTCCATGACAACTGGTGTGTTAAAGTCACGTGATCCTCAAATATCATCTTTGACGCAACCACATGTGGAAGAACTTTGATTTATCCGATGTTGTTTTTTCCGTAACATCTATTTAATATACCACATATAAATGTAACCAGTGTACGTTATTGCTAAAAACATTTATGCTTAATAATACAATCGAATCATTAAAATGTTTAAAAGATTTCATTTTTTTTTTTGGGGGGGGGGTGATATTAGAATAAATTCCATGTGCGTATCAAAATACCAATGTGTATGTCACTGGCTAATTTCCGAACAAGTATATTTATATAAAGAGTGATGCATTGGCGACAATAAAGTATTTGTCTTGTCCATACTTGAAATAGAATGTCCATACTGTATACACATGTTATTTAAACTACATCCAATTGAGGTAAAAAAAAATGTCAAAAGTGAATGCAAACTGAATCAATCATATACTTGCGTATATATAATGGCGATTTTGAAAATAAATTCTTAACAATATACATTTTGTTATTTATTATTCAGTTTACCTCAAACAAATATGTTTTTCCCGAATATTGTAACATAAAGTTATGGATAAAGAGTCTCGATTTCAAAGTCACACTCTAGGTCTTGATGAGCTGCTCTCTCTTACCAAATGCTAAAACAGTTACAATCTCTTTTTTGTTACTTATGACCTGTACAATATATCAAGAGGGAAGTTTAATGCACCATGGTACCTACATGTAGGAGATCGAATGTTGCTTTAATCTTTTACAGTCAAACTTTATTGATTAGATTAGATTTTTTCTATAAACGATATGTATACATCATATCAATCCCGGATATTATTATTTTTCACATAGTTTCGAATCTTTGGAAATATTGGTCTGAAAAATTTTAATATTCGTTGACAATTCCTAAGTAAGTATCGTTTTTCAGAAGGTGAACAATTTGGACCTAAACCACACGCTAGTGAGATATTCTGTAAATCATGAACAGACTCAATCAAACCTAGTCTGAAATTGTCGTTATAATATTGATGTTTTCCTTTCTTCAGAGGGATAATACAATTCCAATAAAGCATAGAGTCTACTTTTGAAAAAGATATGTAATTTGATAAAAGGCATCACATTAGAGATGAACTCAAATCACAGTGAAACTGTTTAAAATAATCGAAGTAAAGCTTAGTTAGTGGCAGAATTCCTATCATGAATAAAATAGTAAAAAGAGAAGAGGAAAGAAGAAGAAAATAGTTAATTATTAATTTTATTAATATTATACATAAACAATATGACATTACATAGAATGAAAACAAATACAAATTTTATCATGATCACATGACAAACAGCAAGAAATACGAGGCATATTAAAAAAAAAGGTTCTTGCACTGAAGCTTTATCTTCACATCACAGAAAGATATTTTTTAAAATGCGCAACAGGAAAGATTTTAAATGCTACGGCAATTCGTACCATTTGAAGTAGAACATTTTAGACAGGACCTAGTTCGGGACCTTATACAAATGTTTATGATACATAAGTCTATAATTATAAATAAAATGTGTTTGAAACTGCAGACTGTAAATAAAACAAGAAGTATCTTTAAAAAAGATACTCGGTCTAAGTAAAATTGGTTAATACGCAAAATTATGTTATTTCTAAGTTTTCAATACAAAAAGAAATGTAAGCAACGCTTGCATAACAATGACATGATAATTATTTCTTGTAGCTGAGAAAGTATCCATTTTTTATACAAGGAAATTAAATTATTGATTTTTCAAAGTAGAACAACTTCTATTTAAGGTGTCCTTTTAACTTGTTTTACGTTTGACTATATAAATCGTGTAATCATTCACAAATTAACCTAAAACTTAAAAAACTATACTCATTCTTGTACACTTTAACGATCCTTTACATTTTATTTTATAGTGACAAAACTATTCCTTACATTTTATCTTAGAGCTATCCATAAAAAATTATTTTAGAATGGTAAGAACCATCCTTTACATTTTAGTTTAGAATGGTTAGAACTATCTTTTACATTTTAGTTTAGAATGGTTAGAACTATCCTTTACATTTTAGTTTAGAATGGTTAGAACTATCCTTTACATTTTAGTTTAGAATGGTTAGAACTATCCTTTACATTTTAGTTTAGAATGGTTAGAACTGTCCTTTACATTTTAGTTTAGAATGGTTAGAACTGTCCTTTACATTTTAGTTTAGAATGGTTAGAACTGTCCTTTACATTTTAGTTTAGAATGGTTAGAACTGTCCTTTACATTTTATTTTAGAATGACCAATGAGATTCACCGACTTCAGTTTGTAATTTTAAAATGACCAATGAAAATTCTTCTCATATTCAGTCCTTCCCTATTTATTTTACAGGAAGTCAAACTAAGAACAGACGGACTTCGTCCGAATAATCTGGGACATAAGATCTTATGTCCCAGGAATAATCTAAGAAGTTTGGATCTAGGCAATTGATAAATTTTGCTTTACTTTACATATGACCTGTTTGATTTATTGTATGATTTATTTCATAACTTTTTTTCAAATGGTTAGTTAGCAATTAATACTTGCGTAATCGCATGATTTATCATTTGCAAATGTTTTTCTTTTAAATCTTGGGTCAAGACAGTGATAAGATAAAAATGAAGGAAGAACAGCAATATGCTTAACATGAAATGCAATACCAAATAAATAAACCAGTTTATCTACATAAAACATTATTTTAAAACCATTATTAACTAGGCCTTCATGGCTGAAGATGTGTTTTCATTTCGGGCTGTATAAACCGAACCCTCAATAAGTTTCATTTTTAAATTTCCAAACAACTTGCAAAAGATTCGACAATACATATATGGATGAAACTATTACAATAGTTTTATAAATGATTGACAGAACAAATGATACGATAAGGTTCCTGAAAGAAAAATTTCAAAATAGATTTAGAAAAAAACAACACAAATAAGGTTTTAACTTAAGATTCATATCATGTATATAATTGAATATATCTGATTAGAATATTTTAATTGCGGAGAATTAGTAAGAAACATTGCCATATTGACGTACATTTTAGAACATATAAGACAGGACATTGTGCGGGAACTTGTACAAATGTTTATGATACATAAGTCTATAATTATAAATAAAGTTTGTTTGAAACTGTAGACTATAAATAAAACAAGAAGTATCTTTGGAAAAGATACTCGGCTGAAGTAAAATTGGTTAACACGCAAAATTATGTTATTTCTAAGTTTTCAATACAAATAGAAATGTTAGCAATGCTTGCATAACAATGACATGATAATTATTTCTTGTAGCTAAGAAAATACCCATTTTGTAAACAAGGAAATTAAATAATAGCATATTTATATTGATGATTTTTCAAAGTAGAACAACTTCTATTTAATGTGTCCCTTTTACTTGTTTTACGTTTGACTTTATAAATTAACCTAAAACTTAAAGAACTATACTCATTCTTGTACATTTTATTTTATAACGATCGTTTACATTTTATTTTATAGTGGCAAAACTATCACTTACATTTTATCTTAGAGTTATCCTTAAAATTTTATTTTAGAATGGTAAGAACTATCCTTTACATTTTATTTAAGAATGGTAAGAACTGTCCTTTACATTTTATTTTAGAATGACCAATGAGATTCACCGACTTCAGTTTGTAATTGAAAATTTTTCTCATATTCAGCCATTGACAGGAAGTGTTTACAGAAAGTCAAACTGAGAACAGAAGGACTTCGTCCGAATAATCGAAGAGGTTTGGATCTAGGCAACAGATAGATTCTGTTTTACTATACATGTGACCTGTTTGATTTATTGTATGATTTACTTCATGATTTTTTTCAATGATTAGTTTGCAATTATTATTTTGATAATAGCATGATTTATCAATTGCAAATCTTTTCTTTAAATCTTGGGCCAAGACAGTGATAAGATAACATTGCATGTACAGCAATATGTTCCATGAAATGCAAATATCAAATGAATAAACCAGTTTATCTACATAAAACAATATTTTTAAACCGTTATTAACTTGGTCTTCATGGCTGAAGATGTGAAAACAACTGATTAGAATATTGCGAAAATCATTTAAAACATTGCCATATTGACGTACGTTGTATATCATTATACAGGTTACAATAGAGAGCAATACATGCCTTTCATCTTCTATCCCATTTGTACATATAGGACATAATCTGTCCATTAAT